TGATGTTGAGCTCCGACTTTCGTTACACACTTTCGAGTCAACCCTCGAGAAACAACAAACAAGGTCCCGATAAACTGCAAGACAGAATCCGGCCTGGTTGGGGGTTTTCTTAAAGAGCATTTCTGCTTCGTCCTAATCCTCGAAGAATTACCAGGCCGAGAGGGCTTGAAGGAGCTCGCTCTCTATCGATCCAGACCGCTTCGTATCACGAAACTGGCTGGCACCTCGGAGAGCTTGGAAGGAAGAGAGAGAGAGAGAGAGAGATCTATTTCGCATCCCCTTTCTCTCTCGCCTCTCTGAGAGTGCGAGAGTGCGTTAATTATTTCCGTTTTCCTTCAAACACAACCTACGACGCATCTTATTATTTTATAGCTTTTTCGTTTCATAGCAAGCGCCACACTTACGAGAATCTAAACAAATTAAATTACATTTCAGAATGATAGACATAAGCAAGATATCCTTCTCGGGAATTTGCGAATTTTTAAGCCACAATTGTTCGGTGTGTCGTGTATGATGCGTACGCAGATTAATACAGAAAAAATCTCATCATACATGTGCACAAAGAATATCTAAAAATCACAAGAGATCCTATTGGCTATATAAATTCATTGATCAATAGGTATTTGCATGACTCTATGTTTGATGAAAACTGATCAAATTCAACAATCTAATATTAGATTATTCTAGCTTCAAGGTACCACAAAATCGATATTAGTAGAATTAATAATATTAAATGTCACATAAGAGAGAAAGAAAGAGGCTTAATATTGAAACAAGATTTCCAAGTAAAGTAGTGTCTCTCAGAAGGAAACCGGAGTATATACTTCGACAGATTTGGATCGGCCTCGTTTCTGAGAAAACTGAATTTACGACTTGGTTACAGGATCACTAAACAATTTCGATTAATTAAGCTTCAAAAGTACGAGCCAATCTTTCACACACATGTCTTCCCATTAATTTCATATAGATATCCAACTTAACAACATTGATATCATCACTTGGTGGTTAATATTTAACGCTGATTGAATGTTACCGTTAATGGGAGCCTTCGTACGAAATTTCGTAGTTACGTTTGACATCTCGAGGAAACGTAGCAAAGCCAGGCTATTCTTCCTGCAAAGTTGCTCTTAATAAACGGCAATGAAATAAAAAAGGCAGCAAATAAGAAGATATAATTCCCCGTCGGCTCGCACGACGTGCATAAGCACAGCGCGCGCGGTTTGATATCTAATCGCGCGGAAATTCGGCTGCATTGGTACAACTCTCCCAAAACGATCGAGTCGTTGTGCACCGGAGAACTTGGAGAGGACCGGAAAAGTATACGCGAGAAAAGGTAGTATCTCACAGATACGCGCAGCAGAGTACCACTTATACCGTGAGAAATCTCGAGTTAAATATTCGTGATATAAGACGGACACACGGTTGCTTGAAAAATGAGTAATCTAGCAGGTAACACTTGAATAATATATCGAAATATATCGAATGACACGCCCTTGAGGGAATACTCGGACCGTCCACTCAAAAACAAACGGTATCTTGCGGCGAACGTTTCGACCGATCCCTATAAATCCGTCCGACGAGCTTTGCAACGACCGTTCGTGAGAGCGAAAGTGCTCAACAATTGCGACGCATTGCGCGAGCCTATGCACAAGCCTGGTAAATCGCGTTGCGCGACTTACGGGAAAGCGCTATCCCAACATCGCGCTTTCTCAAGGCAATCCTAACGCTGAGGACGATATTGTTGTATTCGCTTCGCAAACTCTGGACAGAAATCAGACGTTTGGTTTTTACATTCGAATCTTTCAGGCGATATCGAAGTATTAAACTTTCGTTACATACAACAACAATAGCGTTGGCGTACGGAGAAATTCAAATACCTGGGTGTTGTCCTTTTTACTTCCAGCTAGAGGGATATACGCAGGTATAAAGAATATGAAGGAGAAATGTTAGTCGACACAAGGCCGCTGGTTTATAGGCGATCTGGCTATTATGAGCGAGAATCGTGGAGGATGCTCGTGGGCGCCATTTGTGGACGCGATGGTTCCTATAAAACCTAGGTGGAGGTAACCTGCCTTCCCTCGGCCACCACCTGCTCGCTATAAGACCTTCGTGAACACATGCCGTGTCTGACGAAAGATATTCTCCCGAGCAGCTTGCGCGACCCATCTGGTCTCAAGTTTCTCGTTCGACGGTGCATTTCTTCGCTTATCAGGGCCATCTTTCCGACAACTATCGCTCGAAATTTCACTTCATCGAAGCTAGATGATACGAGGTAGTGTCGGTACGCACAAAAAGCTTCACAAATGGTGGTGGTTTTAAGAAGAAATGTCGTATGATCTTCCGGAACGGAAAAAAGAGCACGTGTAGATGTAAAACAGATGATTTCTCACATCTAACACGATGTATAAGAATCGATATCGTGAAAAACGTACTATTGAAACGGACGAGCTACAATATTAAAGAAATAAAGCCGTTGATAAGTGAAAAAGCATGTATGCAGAAACGTCGTACAGGTTTGAGATCTTATCTACGCTTATCACAATAGTTGCTCCATCGACAAGTGATATAAAAGTCGAATGTGTCGTAATGAGATGCTCGCGTTTGGGTCGGAATAAATTTCGGGATAAAGAGATTGAAATATAAGGCCGAAAAACTATCAGCGATGCGTCATATTAAACTTTTGCTCTCAAAATCAACGTACGCTTACACACCGCAGCTCGAGAGAGGTATGCTGAAAAGTATCTCGCATAAATATGCAATATTTTAGAGCGAGCGTAATTTGTTACTCGGTTATCGCGAGCGTTTCCTTTGATATCGTTGCTCCCAACAATCTATCGCAACTCGTAGACGACAACTTGGGCGTACAACCGCGTCGTGATAGGTTATATTTGGAACAAAAACGAACGAAAAAAAAACGCACAGTTTAAAATACAGTCGTAGGTGTTCCGTGATAATGCTACGCGAAAAGAAAGAGCAACATTGTTTATCGCAGCGATATCGTATTTTTCTCGTTGGATGGGCCGCACCATGAAACGTCCCGTATAGCCTCGACAAAGGGAAGAAGAGGAAGCTGGGAGAAAGAGATGTGTCAAGTACATACAGTGTTACGTATTGTAGGTACGCGTTTTAAAAACGCTTTAGGAACGAAACGGGATTATTTTCCAAGTCACAACGAATTAATGCCCGAATTAATCGATCTGGAAACAAAAAAAGATGACGTAAATTCCTACAAGAGTAAACATCACAAAAGTGTAAAATGCGGGATTACCGCCAATTGGAATAAGTGAGTCTTTTCATCGGATGCATTCATTTCTGAGTTAAATATTCATACAATTTCAATCCGGGCGATTTTCCTACTCCCCCCTTTTTTTTTCCAAACGTGCGCCTGTATTTTTAATAAAGAACAAAGTAGTCGTTGAAATATTCTTTAGTACGCCATATAACGAAGCATATTACGCGCGCTCAGAATTAATGTATATTACGTATTCGCGGGCGTATCTTTGCGCGAATGTTTCATCACGTATACCTGACAAATTCAAACTAGATAGGTAGGTAAGACTGGTAAGAGAAACAGAGGATCGGTTGGTTAAACGGCGGTTGATCAGCTAATATTTACAAAGACGATGGTGTCGGGAATTAATTCTCAATCCATTCGACAAGCTGTTGCAATGACGTAGCTCTGCTTAGAACATTTACATTATCACGTAAATCGTACGTGATAACGACAATTGCGTCCGTGCACGATCGATGCAAGTCAATTCCATAACCGACTCACTTATTCTATTTATTTGTCGTACGTAACGACAAACGCACTAAAACGAGTGTAATTTGAATCTGCGCGTCCTCATTCTTCTTTTACACTACGGTTTTTAAGCGCACGTTGAATAAAATTAACATAGTGTTTCTTTTCAAAGACCTTAGTTATCTGCTGATGCGGCATCGATAAACGGAAGATAACAAAGGGATTCCTTTTCAACCACAAATAATGGTAGATGATACCTGGTTAGTTATCAAGATGGGACCTGAAGCTTAGGTATTTGGGAATCAGACAGTCTAAGGATACAATGTGAAAAATTGTCCAAATTGCGATTTAAAAATAATACACATTTTCACTAGGAAAACGCATCCCCGACTCTGAGGCACCCTGTGTAGCGTGGATAAACTCATTATCAGTCGAGTGAGACTCGCAATTAATCTTGCATGCCAACGAGAAAAACGTTTTTAACTGAGAAGAGCAAGATGCACCAATGTCAGGAATTGTGAGTATATATAATTAACTAGTGGCTATCGATGGTGTGGACACGCAAAACGACATCGTCGCGATAAAACTTGAATACTGTTAGTGGCATATCGAAATTATGCCGGTGTCTGTTTGTAATTCGAGACACGAGAGACTCGCGCAAGAGAATCGTTCGATTGATCCGTCAAAAAGGAAACACGTCGGAATATTTTACGGGCGACGCAATACCGTGAGCGAAACAGCTGCGGAGCTACGTCGGCGACAGGAAAAAAAACTCTAGCACACTCGTTTGTATCGCGCGGACGACGGGTACGCTCGGTCGTTTAATGGAACCAGCGAGAATCAACGGCGGAGACGACGATCGGAAAAGGTTCTCTCGACGGTGTGGTGATGGAGCGAGAGACGTCCGGAAGAGAAGCAACGAAAGGACGCGTCGATAGAGAGACGGAATGTAGATAAGTAGGAAGGAAGGAAGATCGATCGAGAAGGAGAAAAAAGCGGGTACGTTATAAACGACGTTTTACACACGACGAAGCTCCGTTTCCGGCGTGCGTTCCGTGGCATACGAAATGCCCGTCGCCGCAGGGCGTATCGATTCGGACAAAACAATTGTGGCCGAGTGTGCCGTCGTTTCCAAGTCACACACGCATTCGCTAGTAGCATAGAAGCACATTTTTCTTCTCCGCCCAGTGTACTAACGACGACCGTACACAGTCTTGTCCGTTCGACGTCATCAGTGAAGAAATGATATTTATCCTACCGTTTTGGATAACACTCCCGCGTCGCCGTCATGCCTCGACGTGTTCCTGTATTTGCGACAGTAATTGTCGTTGTCGAAACGAACAGAAGCCACGGCGATATTTGGAACAGGCAGGCAGGCAAGCGGACAGGTAGAGCAGGCAGACACGCGCGTACCAAACACACTAGCAAACGTGTTAATAACGCATCGTGTGGGACACACACAGACACACTCACTCACTCACGCACGCACGACGAGTGACGCACGCACGCACGCGCGCTTTTACCGCAGATATACACTTTCTATAGCGAGCGCGCGCGCACACACATGTACACACACACACAAATGTCGCGCCTTAGCCACCAACGCCTATCTTACGTACGCGACACTACGCCTCGCTCAACAACGGCACACGACAGACTGAGGCCAACTTAGACTTGTCGCGGCACGGCGGGATGAAGGGACGACCGACCGACCGCAAGGTGGGGAAACCGTCGGATCTCTTCGGTGGGGAACGCCATCTCAGGTGCGGATGTTGCGCTCGACGCGCCACCTCCCTTCATCGAACGCGACGACAGCGACAGCCCGGAGTCTCTGTATGGAAACCCTATTTCACAGGAAAAAATTCGTATTTAATGACGAAAAATGTCTTATATTCATAAAAGATGACCTTTTACACCAGGGAAAAAAGCCGTTCTGCGAAAACGTTCTTACTGTTGACCAAGAGTATTACGGACAAGCGAGCGATATTATTTTAAAGGACGATCATTGGGCTAACGTTTCGCCAATTTAATCATTCAATGCTGGCTAAAACTGATCAGTCAGCATTGATAGTTGTAAGCCAATCTAGGCCGGGAAAAACGCAAACAGAGATATACGCGTGCAAGCAAAATTTGATCTTTCAATCTCTTGCGTTTTTCTGGAATGTTTTAATGTATATTCGTTTGATTCGAAGAAACTCTAATAGAGGGTATGGCGCGCGGAACAAACGTTGCTGCGCGTAAATAATTTCTTATAGACTATACTACAAGGTGCACATCTCTTACTTACTTACATCGAATCAATCTAACGTAACGGTAACGTCACTATCATAAACCTCACGTATAAAAAAATTTGACAGCCGAGAAATATTCGCCGATGATTTCACTACAGGGGTTAGCGTAGTAAAAAATTCGTAATTTCGACGTAAGATCTAATGTAAGAATAACGTTGTTGGGATGATTGTTATTCGATAACAAGATACGCAACGCGGAGAATCTCCATGGTGAAATTCCAACTCTCCGAGAGTGTACACCCCTGAACGCTTAATATCGTGGAGGGTAACAGAGAGGAAGAAAGATAGGGGGAGTGTGTCGAAGCACAACGTAGGGACCGTCGAATCGAAAAAGAAAAAACGGTAGGACCTACTCTGAAAGAGAGAGAGCGCGTCTCGTCGAGCCACACCGCGAGCGATAGAGAGAGCAAACGCGAGACGATTGGCGAGAGGCCGCACCCACGCGGTCCCCGCGCTCCCACGCGGAAGAGTACCAGCACTGACACAGCCCTGAAGAAACCGAGTAAACACGCCGCGACTATTCTCTCTCTCTCTCTCTCTCTCTCTCTCAAGTCAGTTTTTGAAACCACGAAATCTCAGTGATGTTAAAAATCTTCACGTTTCGGAAATGTCGTCGTCATACCAAGTCGGTGAACCTTCGCAACTTGAAACTATCTCCGAAATTGTATCATAGTTTGAATTCCTCACGTTTTTCTTCTCTTTTGATTATTTCCAGCTGAGACTTTTTCACGCGTGTCAAACCAAAAAAAAAAAAAAGAACGCGACTTTCGACCGTAGCACTCATCTGTTCTCGCGCTAAACGCGCATGCGCGCACGGCTTTTTAATTCCACCGATTCGCAGCCGACGTGATGGTTGTCCGCCACGGGAATATTCGGGATGGACGGGATATTTAATGCGGGGTATTCGCTTTGTCGTCGTTGCGTGATGCAACGGCGTAAAACGTGGCGCGCGACCAGTGAGCTCTCTCTCTCGTACAGAACTTGCACAACGTCGACGGTGTAACGAGTGAGTTTCGTTCTTAATAAGCTTCTTTCACGATCGATGGAAATGAAATTCCGGCCGGAATACTTTTTCAAATGATTTCGCTCGTACTGCGTGAGCCCGCTACTATTTACGCAACACATTGTAGAGGACGGACGTCAGACAGATATCACGGTCGAGTACGCTAAACGCGCTGATAACTCCAAGTTAAGCCAAAATCAACACACGCTCCGGCATCGTGACACAGCTGCCGCGTCATATCGAGTCAAAGCTCAAGCGTGTCTCTCTCGACTAGCCATTGGTCGTTGTACAATCGTATATTTATCGAATTCAGTGTGAAAAACTGCTGTTTACGCGTTACGAAGAAGTCTACCTTTTTTTCGTCTCTCCCCCGCTCATGTTCCCAGACGGGAAAGCGGGTTTCGGAACGTTAATTTTACGTAATACGAGTCTGCGCTCGGTAGGAACGAGTTCTCCCTTCGCGTATATTTACCGCGATCTCGGATCGATAACCGAGTTTTCCGACTAGTCGACGGACGCGCTCACTCTGGTTCCTCCTCTTGAGAAAGCAGGATGTCGCTTCGTATTGCGCAGGAATGACACAGGTTTTAGCTGTGCGTCAACGGACTGACAGACGAGAAGGAAGAATGCTTAGTAAGAAAAAGATGATTAACATGCGCACGCATGAGATCTCTGTGCATGATCGTTACGCGATTGAAAGATCTGTTCTCGATAACGGCGATATTTGCGAAATCGTCGGTATTTCACGCACGCGACGAAACAACGATATTTTAAGGGATAACCGTGCACCGAATTTGACAAGATGCGCGCGGAAATCATGAGAAGGCGGAAACAGAAGAAGAAGAAGAAAGTTGGAAAGCATAGATGAATAGGGTTCTATTAACTATGCACCCTTATCAATTGGAAAATTGCAATGGGAACGGAAGAAAGAAAGAGGAAAGACTGCGTCGCGTACGAAGGAAGGGAGGGAGAGAACCAGTAGCGGATAACCTTGGGGCCCCGATTACGGGAGAGCCTGGCAAATTTGAGAGAGAAAAGTGTCGGAGATTTCTTCAAGTGTCTGACCCTGCAAGCAATTAATCTGAATGAATTCGATGTTCAACTGGACAATAAATTGGTGAAAAATTCACAGCAAGTCGAACGCGTGATTCAGCCACACTGCAATAACGCCATCCAAAAATGTAGTTCGGATTGTGTCTTTTGCCCCGTTTCTCTTCGAAAATACAATTCGTTACTGGAAAACAAAAGAGAGAAAGGATATATATTAAAGGAGAACGCGAAAGAGATGGGGATTAAGTTTACGCCCTCGTCGTACCCAAGAACGTATCGCAATACCAACATGGAGAAGCGCGAGTGACGAGTTGAAATTTTTCTCGCCGGTAACTCGACGTTTGCGGCATCGCGCGACATCGAGGATGTTGCGAGCGACCGGAACCGTGTCGACGACCCGCATCGTCTATGCACCCTTGTGAATTGGAAAATTCCGCGCTTGCCAGCCAACGGTGGGGACGGAGAAGAGGGTACTCGCGTAGAATAGCCAGGGGCGTATTCGGTCGGAAAAATCCTAGAGAAGATCCCGAAGCGACGAAGAAAATGTTGGAGAGAAGGTGAGACGAGAAAGAAAGTTTCCTCGACACTCCCTATTTCTCTTGACTTGGCAATAGCAGTTATCAACGTGATTGATAATATCCTCTCTGTCGTATCATTCGGAGAAATTATTGTGTCTTCAACACGTTAATAAGCAAATCATTGAGATTTGCTCGAGTTTTAACTAGCGAAAGCTTGTGACAACGTCATTACTCTAGCAACCTTAAACATTTAGGCGCGCAAGTTTCGTCTACGCAAAATTCAATTATCGTCGAAAGTCGTCTAGCAAAAAATGCCCCGCACGTTTGAATTTCTCTCGTCGATCCCCGCAGGCGAGAAGAAGCGCGGTGAGACACCCTGTATTTTGAAATAGAACGAGAGAGGGAGGAGGCGGAGAAAGAGATAGAGCGAGGGATTGATAAGGCGTGCGCATGCGTCACTCGTCGTGGGCGTCGGAAATGTGTTGACACACGAGAGAAACTGAAAGCGAAAGAGAGAGGGAAAGGGCGGGAGACGGAGAGCGTGGACGCCCGTATGTATGTAACCGTTGATGCGGTTCCCATGCAGCACCTCCGTCGAGAGGATCCAGGATCGATCGAGCAGAGACGGGCTAATGGAGGGAAAATTAGAACGACGGCGTGAGAAAGAATTTCAACAAAATGAATTCGATTGAAACGAGGATCTTCGCAAGCTGATAAAATACGTTCGCCCAGCGAAACGGTATGCTCTCGAGAATAAATGCGATTCGAACAAAACGAACAAGGAGAGGGACGATCAATCGACAGCTAAATTATTACGCTACTCTCGCGACGTACTTGAAACGCGCAAAGTAGCGCTTATAATTCGCTTTATAATGTAAGAAGAAGAGTATGCCGCGCATCTATAATTTCCGTCTATGGGCAGCTCTGTCGTTACAAAGGATCTATTTTTCATGAAACTTTTAAGAGTCCCGACGGGGAATACCGGCCGGCCGTATTCCTCTCTCGCGAGGGCTTGCTGAAATTTATGTTTAAGCCCGTTTCGAGGAAGCAGGTAGAAGCAAAGATATACGGCTAAATAGTCATGGTTACCGTGAGAGCTTAAGTGTCCCGCCACTCCGCTATGAAGGGCTACTCGATACGCTTATTATTACCGGTAACTCCCCCTTCTTATCGGTTAAAACCGCGATAAACTCGACGGTATGCTTTTGTATATACCGGAAAAAGCATACAACCACCGAGTTATCTTGTTAACAATCTCCGTCGCATTATTTACATAGGTAGATGGTCGGCAATATATTTTACTAGATAACGAACGAGGTTTGTCCTTTGTCGCGCTTTTTCCTCGATGGGATAGAGCGATTACAGGGAGACGCGTATATAAATCTTAGGTAGCGGACGGATCTTCGGAAAGCGTACGCAGAGCCCGGGTCTTTCTGTCTATTGAAAAATTCTATGCATTTATAAGTGCCGCTGCACACACAGCGCGGCTTGTTGCCGCTCATATATTTTTCAGTCGCGCTCCCAAGTGCGTTTTTAATTCGCGATTTAACGGCCGCCTATAAATCCCACGACACGCTTATATCGCGAAGAGATCGTTGCTTTCCACAAATCGAATTTTTAATTGCTCGCGCGTGTGACAACGGTTTTTCGACGAAGGAGTATGTCGCGCCGGGAAAAAGGTATCGAGAGGAAAATGAGACGGCGTTAACAGGACACCCCGTACATACAGGAACGCAATTCCCGACTGATACACACGAATCGATCGTAGGGCGTCACGGACGGATTTAAAGGGTCAGCGGCTTAAACGCCCGACCGGCGATGTACCGTTAATTACTAAGATTGACCGCGTTTGGATCGTTTGGTCGACCGAAACGAACGTCTCTTCGAAGCGTCGGTCGACGAAAGAGAAAAACATGGAAGAAAGAGCATTATGCTTACTTTTGTCGCAAAAAAAAAAAAACACCGTTGATGCACACACCTGTACGGATATTTGTATACAAACAAGAGTGTTCGATCGGCAGACAAAAGTATCACATCGGGAGGGGGGAACATGAGAGATGGAAAAACATAGGTGCGCGGAGCGAAGCGCCTTCCCGCGTGTAACCAATCATTTTCCCCGAACTCACTTTTCATCGAGAACCGTCCTTACATTCTCTCACCGGAGTACGTATACTCACGGGATGTGTAAATATCATCGCACTTAAAACGGATGCTCTGTCTTAATATTGCCAATCAATAGAAAAAATGCACAACGTCCTACTCGGCGAATATCTTCGGTAGCGCAGACAGGAAAAAGGAATCGAGAGAGAGAGAGAGAGAGAGAAGCAGCAGATGTAGCGGGATAGAGACAGATAGATAAGCAGAGCGTGCTTCCGAAATTGCGATGGGAAGATTCCTACCTTTCGAGCCAGGGCAAACTTTTTCTCTCTCTCTCTCTCTCTCTCGTTTTGTCTCGTCAGAGCAACGTCATAGTGCAGCGGCGTAGTGACGCCATTTAATCAAACGGCGACCAGCACGATTTATCGGTCGGCGATGGCCGCTCGCGGCAGCTCACCACTGAGAACACCGAGGTCGCTCCGTGTGCCTCACGAGACAGCGTAATGTTCGGCGACCCCGCCCATCGATCAAGACTTCGGTCGGAAAGAGAGAATGTCCAACACTGATCGCGTCCGTCTTAACGCGTGACGGCGCGCGACTTTTCTCTGTGAGCATCTCTCTCTTGCCGACCGGTGCCGGGAATAATCGAGAGAGCGAGACAAATATCGCTCCGATCTTTACATTATTCGCGAAAGGATATCCTTCGATCACAAATATTTCATCAGATTGAAAAAAACTCGTACCAAGCCGGCGCTGCGCGCGACGATGCTGTGTTCCTCCGCCATCAGGAACGTCATGAACTCGGAACTATCACGAACCTGCAGTGGCGCCAACGAAAGAGCAACAAATTAGCATCGAGAGACATAGAAATTTCGCTGTAAATCGCGAAAATAAGCGCGAATTGTGGAAAACGTTATATTTTCTTCGTGCAAAGTCCCTACGATTTCGTTATCGTACGAGTGTATTGATAATCTCTTTCTAGTAATTACACAGGGAGTCGGCTTCTTCCTCACATGGAAACGCGCCTCGCGATTTATCCATCCGACGTTGGCAGCGTTGCGCGTCGTCTGCACCGCGCTGACAGCTCGCGTTATTGACACCGGAGACGATTCATCCGAGGGATAATGCGAGTCGGCGGTGAGCGCGCGCGATGCTTCGTGCGCCGCCGTGAAAGCCGAGCGCGGCCGAAGCGGACGACGGCGCTCGATCGAACGTCTTCGTTGACGGTGCGCGTTCGTGCAGCCTCACGGCCGGACTCGTCCTTTCTCGCGTTTCGTCAAGTCCGCTGACGATCGAACGATCGATCGTCGTTATCGGCTCGTCAGAGGCTACTCAACGGTCGCCGCTCCATCCGCGACGCTTTCTTCACGCTTGTCAATTTTCCACGGTATCGGTGTTTTTCCGTCACACGTCGGTAAAATCGTCAAGCGACAACCGTCGGAACGTCATGTATAGTATGTCCTTTTTTTCCGACGAATTACGCAGTTTTGTAATCGCCAATGAGAAATCGAACGCGCGCGATTGATCTTCCTTCATTCCGAGTGTTTCTTTGGATAACTCATCTAGCCGCTTGTTGACAGTATTCTCCACCACTCTGTGTTTTCTTTGCCGAGGATTTTCCAGCGCAATTTCTTCATTCAGCCAACGCTTCGTTCAGGAGGATGAATGATTCTCGACTAATTCCGATAAGGGAAAATCTCTGCTGATGTTGTTGGTATTTCGAAGAATGCAAACTCGTTTGTGAATTTATTGCGAATTTCCCTTAACAAGGTGAGTTTTCACAGATGAGTCATTCGTGACGTAGCGAATGGGTACACTGTCCAGCAAATGTAAGAGCTATCCTAGATCATCGTTGAATGCATCAGACTGAATACAATGTGTAAATAAAACAACTTACGCTCGTATTCGATTGCACCCTGTCAGTAAATCTAGTCTTGTAAATGTTTTTGATACAAATGCAACTCCTGTGTGCATTGATAAAATAGGCTGTGCTATACGTGTGCTGTATCATACAGATTATTATTTTCTTTTTTAATTATAGAATTGGGTTAATGGAGTAACAATGAAATAGGGTGAAACTAGAGGGAATTTCAAATATATATCACTAAAATTTCATTATATTTTCAATAAAACATTTCCATCAGGGAGTGTGAAAGAAGAAAACAATGGGTGCAATGGAAGACACACACTGATAATATAACCTAGTATATGTAAACATTCTAAAATGATGATACAGAATGATAATCGCGTGAATCAAATGCGACTTTGATATATAAAGTGATGGCTTGCGGAGAATGTTCATATATATAATACAATTTATATATGTATAAAATAAGCGACGTGAGATGTAACCTTTTGTAGACAATTATATCACAGGTAGCATCGTCCCTTCCTTTTGAAAATCAGTAAATCAAACTTTGCAGAAAAAAACATCACAGAGAAAGATGGTGGAAAAGTATTGAAACGGAAGCTGCCGAAACAAGTGTCTCGTGGGGGAAGAAAAACAGAGCGAAGAAGACAACAGAGAATTCGGTATGATCGGTGGTAGAGGTAGAGCTCGCTCGAGAATATCAGGCGGGGTGGTGGAGGCATGGAAGCCGAAACTGGCCGACCGTCTCTTCAGAGGCTCTTTAGAGGTTCCTTGCCATCTACAGGAATACCCGGATTAGATGTTATAAGAGCCCTGCATCAAGTACGATTCATTCATTCATACGTGTAAAAAAGCTCGTCTTCTCCGGAAATTTGTCGTATCTGTTAAACTTGTGTTGTAAAATTTGAACCGTAGTGCGAGTCTCTCTCAGAGACTTCTGTCCCATCAGATGTGAAATTGTTTATGCGGTTGATATATCTCGTAGTATTCGGTGGCTTCTCTTGGTCAACTTGTCTTGGTGATTCAGACGGTCGTATCGTTGCGTTCAGCCTTGGATTCGTCGCGAGAGGAACTTCGTCGTCTGCAAGAGAGCGTCGGGACTTTCTCCGGCGAGAGCTACGTCGACGCGGTCAGTCGTCTGGCCCTCGAGAATCACGCACTCAGGCGGAGGATTTTGAGCAGAGGCTGCGAGTTTTCCAGCGATGCAACAACCAGTCCGAGACGACTCGTCGTAGAGGAGCGTACGAAGTAAGCGTTTCTGTTGGCGCGAAATTTAATAGCCATTCGAGACCCCTCTTATGTGGCAGCCAACACTCGGATCCCGGCACTATGGACGTGAAGAAGGCCGATGCGATCGATGGACACCACAGCAGCAACGACGCGTCGAAAGACAGCTCGAAGATTGCCGAGCCTGCGATGCTGAGCGTCGTTCCTCCGATTGAAAGTCGCAAGTCTTCGAATGCGGTTAATAACGAGGAAGTCTCGGGTAAAGTAACGTTTGTACCGAACGACAATTCCCCCGAAGATATTGTAACCTCGAGAGGGAAATCGTTCCAGGCGTGGAGCATCTCGACGTTCCCGATAAGGATACCGAGGACTTGAGTCTAAAGTCCATCTCCGACGGCGACAATTCCGTGTTCAGCGACCACACGCAGCCGCCTCTTCGCCAGCAGGGCGATTCTTCGAGACCAAACGAACATTCGGAGAACGAATCGGAGGAACTGGACGACATCGAGCTGATATTCACGACGGACGAGACCGATCTCGGTCTGCAGGAGGACCTCGTGTCCATCACGGAGACCGAGTCCTGGCAAGTCCAGGCGACGAGCCAGCCCGTTCTTCTCAAGTACACGAAGTCGGCGGAGGGCGAGTCGTTGGTCTGCAACGGCGACAAGACCAGCTCCGTCGAGGAGGCCGTCTCCTCGCAGAGCTCGAGCATCGATCGCGAGGAGAGCGTCGACAGATTCGACGAGAGTTCCAGCACCAGGCTCAACAAGATGTGGTCGCAGTGCTCCGTCCTGGTCGAGACCGACATCAGCAAGTGCGGCGTGTTGGAAGACGAGGGCGGATCGTTGCGACACGCCGCGAGAAGGAACACACTGGCCGCGCCGCCCACGGCTTACAGGTGGGTGCTTGTAAAATGGGTCCTTGCGCTCGAGCAATTTCCGGGCGACCTTTCAGGCCCATCATCCATCGGGAAGCTCTGGCTGGCAATCGGCGGAAGAGCTCCGCGCCGTTGCGACCGGTGATGGACCGCAGCGGCGGCGGCGCCCGGAGAGAATCCGGCGCCCAGACGGACATCTCCGCGCTGCCGGCGCAGTGGCGGTCCGAGAGCTATCTGGCGCACAAGGTCGCGCACACCTTCACCACCCTGCCGAGTAAGTTCGCCCTGCCGACGGGAGTGCCCGGCCGGCTGAGGCTGTCGGACAAGACTCGAGAAGCCAGAAGGGTCATGTTGTCGGACATCAGTTTCACCAGCATGGTGCCGGAGTTGTCGAGGAGCGCGGATCACCTGTGCCATGATCCCCACGCCCAGGTAGTAACGCCTTTCGTTCACCCCCCGGAACGAAGAAGGAACTTTCCTTTTCCGCAGACGTGTTCGCGCGGCCTCCGTACGCCGGAAGCCCATCGACGTGAGTCTCTGGGTTCCCCCGCCGGATACTGGCCGCGTTGCAACCCCGCGACGGGCCTGCCGAGTCCTTGCGACTGCCGCTTGTCGAGCGACCTCTACCGATACCGCGGCTCCTTGACCTCGATACCGTCGCCCGAGGTGGTCGGCGCTCCGCCGCGCAGGCATTCCTGGAGGGCGACTGCGGCCTCCTTCGACACGTGGCGGGCGCCGGTCGCGACTTCCACGCCGCGGCCCACGTGGTCCTCGATGCCGTCGTCTCCGACGCATCCTCCGTCGCAGACCTCCTCCTCCAGAGCCTCTTCGAAAAATCTACCAAAGAGGACGCGATCCAAGGTGACCTTTCAAGGTACGAAGGAGCGTGGGCGAGTCGAGATTTGCGCACGGGTCGAAAGTGACGATGATTCGCACGCAGAATGTCCGACGCGCGGTAGCCTGCCCAACCTGCGCTCGGATTCGGCCGGCGGTGAGAACAGCGGGGATTCCACCGAATCGTTGATCGACGAGGCCGAGGATTACCTGCGCCGAAGTATCGACTCTATGCTGACGATATCAAGCGCCAGCACGGATCATTGGAGTAAACAGAGGCGAAGAAGAGCGCGCAGACACTCGGAACCCGATCTGATTCGCGATTGGCATCCTCCTCAGGATGCCAGGCCGTATTTGCCAAAGGTACGTGTCGTCGGCGGATCGTGGCGGATAATCGTTTCAAGTCGTTGTCTGTCCGCCAGATACCGAGAGATCTCAAACTGGATCACCTCGTCAAGGTCATATCGCCGGAGGGCAGGGTCCTTCAGGGTCGCGTGAGATACATAGGTTCTGTTCCGGGCCGGGAAGATGCACACGTGGGCGTCGAGCTGCCGTATCGCAACGGCTCGTCCGACGGTACATTTCACGGTAGAAAGTTCTTCGAGTGGTAAGTTTGCGAGACGAGAGAGCGTTTCAAGAAAGCTCGATGATGTTTGATGTCTCTCTCTCTCCCTCTCTCTCAACAGTGAACCGAATCGAGCGATTTTCGTACCATTCAAAAAGGTGGTACTCGCCTGGTGCACCACCTGACCCGAGGCTTCTGTGCCCGCCACTCCTCGTATTCTACTCTCCCAGTACACCATGTAAAAACGAGCTGGGAGAAACGTAAGTTACAGCCTCTGTTGTGTGATTCTCCATAATCAATTAATTCTCTCATTCCCACGATGGAATTGCACAGATTCTCACTACGAAAGAAGTGCAATGCTACATGTTTGATATCTTCGGTCACCACTGCCTGCGGAAATAGTAGTTCCAAAGACATCGTCTGATAGAACCGCCTCGCTTCAATATTTCAGACTTGCCCATTTGACTGATGAATATTCGCGAAGAGAGTCGGGGTACGTGAATACATCGTTACCGTCTGCTAAACGATTAGTTTTAGGAATGAGAGAATTAAATTTCATATGATTTTTTTTCTTCGATACGAGGAAATAAGAGAGGAGACAGACCGAGGTATCAGCCGCTGATGAATTTTCAGCAAGAATAATCAAAAGTATCGATAAAGTTTCCGTGAATGAGCCAACCCTTACCTAATCTAGGAAAATTATGTTTCTCACTTAAGGAAAACCAAGCGAATTTTGATTAACATTACTAGTGCACGCATGGAGAACAATTTCGCACGGAACTTGTTAAGATGGAAGTTTTCTCTCTCGTTCGAAGATTTCATCCGACAGATCGTTTTCTCTTCCTTGCACAAATATAATGACGAAGGTTATACTAATACAGTGTTACTTTTTTAGACTCTATTCTCGTATATAAATATCGCCTCACTCTGTTTCTCGGCTGGTGATCAAATGTACAGTTTAGCCGATATCAACAGCGAAAACTTGCTCTCGACGTGTGTGTGTGTTTTTAAATGGGACTAAACGCGAATACAGAAGACACCCAACTCTCTCTCTTTCAGTCAAGACAGTGACAGATATTAATTTCTTATCGATCTAATAATATTTCATGTATTGCGCGTTGCTTACGAATTCACGAGCTTTCGATGAACAGATGTTTTAGTGTACGTATGTATTTTATGTATACCTATCTGTACATTTTAAAGAGACACGCGTACATGTGGGCACTTCACTTGGTTGTATAAAGACACCTATCGTTTTATCGATGGATCCGATCAGAGAGCAAGGAGGGACCGCATCGATTCTACCGAATTTCTAGATTCATAGAATCCCTCTAGCTGAATGTTAACGTAAAGAAAAAAAAAACAAAGAGATTGTTGTCAACCTCCCCCTCCCCCCTCCCGCTATTTATTGTAATCGTACATATAACGAGTGCCGGAAAATAAAGAAAATTGAATTGCAATGCAAGATCGTCCTTCGTTCCTTTTATTCCTCGAGGTATCTCGATGTCTCTCAATGATTTGCCTGCTTCAAAAGGGTATTTCTTGTTTGAATATTCTTGAAATCACAGCTCTTTTCCTTCGGACAATTCCCTTCGCGTGCAACTCTTATCGTGTAACGAATATACCGCACGAATGACGGAATTTTTCGATAGAACTGCATCACAAACGATGAGCCGGGTAATCGGCGTACCAGCTAAAAGCGCCGTTGGAACCGGTGTGTCCTCCGAAGTCGACGTAATCCAGAATACGCGTCGCTGATCGCTCGGAAGAGTCGTCCTGGTGAACACCGATCGGCACATATGCCTCCGTTTGTCTAGCCATCCTCGCCAGCAACGGTGCAATCGGGCTCACTTCAATTACGTCGATACCGTCAATGCCGTCAACGGGAATTGCAATGTAACGTCGACCACCAAACACGTTACAAGCCACGGACAATAGCATCAACGCGGTACCCTGAATATTAAAAAGAAAGAAAAGAGAGGGAGAGAGAGAAAAAGAGAAAGAGAGAAGTTAAATTCGCTTGCAAACGATGAGTGTAGTATCAACTTTTGTTGTCCACGAGATATCTTTCTCTCGTTTAATTATTTATTAAACGATATATCCGACTATACTCGACTTTGATTAGAAAATTTCCCGCGGTGAAAAAACGAAAGAAAGTTAGATTGCCGGATAAAATTTGTCGTTATTTACCAAATTATTCATCGTCTTCATGGTAAGCTGAAAGTCAACCTGACGTTGAACTAAAGTTGAACTAAAGAGAGAGGCTCAATCGCCGGCGTTTTATACGTTTCGTTCCGCCACAGCTTTCTAATCCTTCGAAGGAACCGGCAATTACTTCTGGCTACTTCTTGCAGCATGTTCATCTCGTTGCCAAGTTGGCACGACCACGAAATGTACCGAGTCCTCGAAAAGAAATGATTATCTCCTTCTTCCTCGAGTCACGCCTCGGTACTTTCGATCTTCTTTCGATCAAACTTTCGATTATCCTCTCTTTCCTCCGAGCGTTTTTGCTCGCCCGCGATATTCCCGATGATTTAACTGCTCGATAAACGGATTTTTCCGAAACTATCTTTATTCTTTTACACTAAACTGTTTTGCAAAATTAACAGAAATAAATTTGGCGATACTGCTCATTTACAATTGAAACTTCAATTACAAGTATATATAACGAACGATACATATTAGTTGCTCTATTACATTCTTCCACATTGAAATACAGTTAGATATTATAATATACAGTTAAATATTATATATGGATCAACGTTCCTGGTCCCTTTTTTCAGTCATGTTGTATTATGAAACGAAAAGTTAGAATGATACAAATTTCGTTCAAATATTTTCTAACATTTCGACACGACTTTGCTACAAAACAGGCAAATCCGCAAGTCTTATTATAATGTAAGATAAAATCTGCGAGAGCACATACACGAGTATTATATACATATATATAATGTATCATATTATACATAACTATGAGAGAATATAAAAATAAAACGGGAATCCTTCTATACTAGAGATAGAAAGCAGGAAATACTTTTTTCGAATCACATCTTTCCATTTATCTCCAATTTCTTATCAGCGGGCAAGTTTTCTGGTTCAAACTTATCAGGTTTTGCATCATTTATATCCAACGTTGATTTCTCCGGTGCGACGTCACTTTGGCGACCTTCCACCGACGTTGCAATTACTTGAGCCGGCTCATTGGTTTTCTGTAAAATTATAGAATGGAAAAGGATCGTTTAACATCGCTGAGTCACAATAAATATCCATCACACATGACATGTTGTAAAAAAATCATTTATTCTCGCGCATTGACACTAAATATGACTGTGTTCGCGGGAGATTTGCGTAAATTGTAAAAAATAACACACGATAAATACAATAACTATACAGAGGTTCTGCATGATGCACGCGCGCGCTATTGTTCTTACCTTCGGGCGCGGAGCTATGGAGCTAAATAGATTCGGAGGTGATACTGACTTGTTCATCTCGCCTTCTTCTGCGTGTGCAGTCTTGGACTTACTCGGAAGTCGAGTGGATAAAAACTGTTGCTTCGTTAGACTTGTCACGATATCAGTCATCTTCGAGTGAGTGTCTTCCTTATAATCGGCGAAACCCATATTTATTAGATTTTGCCCAACTTGAAGTTTCTGTGAGACAATAAAAAGTATTTAAGAAATCCGTGAAAGATGGGTGATACAGTGACGAGTTTTTCAGATTACCAGGAAAAGGAGAACAATTTTCAAAATAAATATCATCGAGCAATATTACACAAATCGCTGTAAATCTCAAGTTGTACATAATTGTTACCCCCCTCCCCCCCTCCCCGATTTTTTGTAATATGAAAACTCGTAAATTAAGCGTGATTAGCCAAGAACGGTGAATAATGAAGAAAAAAAATCTCTGTTTCACAGATTTCTCGGAAGTACATGTACCTTAAATAGAAGTAGAATCTAAATCGAAAGAAGTGTCGCTTGCATTTAGCATTCAAGATATAGCAGTGTAAATATCTGCCATAAAGAATCACTCCCGATTTTGTAATAATTAAAAGATAATTGACACTTTGCTAAATGACTGTGCAGTTAGCAAAGAGATTCTCTCTATTTTGAGAATGAAAGAATCGAAAACTAAAGAACAAGGAGAGATTCAATGGGTGTGAAATTCTGAAAGAAACTGCCGCTCTTTTGTCTCATTTTATCGTTCTCACCTTATATCTATCGTAAAGTTCAACGCATAGAATCACCGCATTTTTACGTTGAGATTGTTTGTTGCCGACGGAGCGATTTATGTAGCCTTTAACTGTAGCATCCATAACTTTCGATTGTCCTAACCAAGTGCAGGCGGCGAATTGCTTGCAAGCTTCCGAATTCCACTCACCGTTTCTGAATAACAATTCATTTCAATGAAAATAATACATAAAGTATTTTACATGAAACGCGACTAGATAGATTACATATATATTCAGTAAAATATTGCAAGCTCTGTGCAACTATCATGAATTTGTATATAGCTGTAAAGTGCACTCTTGTTAAACAATTTTCTTCTTCTTTTTCCCTAATACGACAATTAACGTAATTTCGTTGTATAAGAAAATATTGTTTGTACGAAGAGTTCGAGAGTTTTCTTAATTTTACCACGTGTATTTGCAATTCAATTTTTTTTTTATATTAATTGCTCCATGTATGCATTATTACCTACATTATGCGTCAATCTGACCCGTCAATCAATTGAAAATATTGAAAGAGTATCGAGATATCATCTACACATAGTTGTATCAGAAAATCTATGCTGGTCCAAGACAGCTAAATCATAATGTTATGTCTATATATGAAATCCAATTACTTAAGCGATTTTAAATATAATTTATCGACATATAGCAACTTGCCTCGGCTTTACATTCGCTAGCGTGCATTCCACGGCTTGCAGTCGTAAACCCAACATATCGGTACGGAGTTCTAATATGTTCTCTTTGATACACTCTATGAAGTCTCCGTAATCCAAGAGGAATACCCTGTATTGAGATTCATTTAGAATTTGTGTTATTTCCCCTCGGTACCACTGATTGTAATATTCGCATCTGGCTGCTACTAGGTCGCCCACATTTATCTAAAACCAATAAAATATTGATGACACAATATTGCGTATAATTTCTCTGTATTATTTGGGCTGCGTTCGATTTGAGCGCTATAAATAGCGTCCCTCTATTCTCCTTTGGGACTTTTGCCACACACACATAAATTTGTAACACACATTTAAATATTATCACATTCATGAATGGAATCATTGTTTTACTTACTTTCTTCAAGAGCAGCATTTTTTTATTCTCTTCGTCATCGTAAAACATCGACATTTCATTTGTCAAAGACTCTAAACAGATAATTCCAGAACCGAGTATTTGAATCCAGAATTGGCCTGGTGTTACCATTGCACTTACATACACTTCCATTGCATCATCTGTTGAAAAATCAAAATTTTCGTTCTAATAATTAATGAAATAGTTCCAACATGCCATGAAATTACAGATTAGTAAGAATTTAATAGAGCAATCGCTTCATGTGCCTGCCGGTAATGGTGACAGTATCATCTTGGCAAGATTGAGGTCGTCGGGCAATTCGTCGGTCAGAAGTTTCGAATAAGCTCCAGGCACTCTGGTGAGACAGAGATCTTGTAGCGCAGCTCCATCTTCCAGTCGCACTTTCTCCTCTATGAGACGAAGAGCCACTTCTATTTGCTCAATAGTCCCGTGTACTACTATTCTTTTTTTACCATCTTTATCACCGTATGAATATTTTGCGGGATGAGAAACTGCAGTAAAGTAACAACTAATGATTATTATAACAAAAATCGTCGATAAAAACGCTTAAAGAGCTTACACACTTACCGGACTTGAAATCAGTGTCGTCGATGATGATTTTAGCATTGGAAGTTTCTTGAATCTTCAATAGATTCTGCCTACCTCTCCCTAAGATGTGTTTCACAGATCTATACGGCACGTAAAACTCGTATCTATCGATAACAGGCACAGTGTCTATTATGTTTTGAATAATAATCTTTGCTAATTTAACACCCTCTGCAGGACCCGATATAGTGCAAGCTCGATCTTGAGAATTGTGATTGAATTGTTGCAATTTGATGGTTACATCAGTTTTCATTTCTATCTCCCGGATCGTATGACCGCCTTTGCCAATAACAGCGGCCACAGTCGAATTAGGCACTTTAAGTTCAACTGAAATCAATTGGGATGATGATTTGCGTTTCCGATCATAGATATTATCATTTTCCTGCAATGTAATATCAGTAAATAAATTATTCAAGTGGGAGAAATACATTTCAATAAATTTTCCATACACACAACTTGATAGAATAATTAGAAGAAGGTGAATACGATATGAAAACATTTAAAGAAATTGTTTTTAATTACCTCCCTGAACTTACCTTTTTGTAGAATTCATATAGCAACGTTACACCAACAGTTGTTAGAGATACACCAAGTAAACCAAGTAATATCGACTCTTTCTTACTAATATTTTGTAATATCCACACCATCTTGCAATATATTGACTCTTTGTCGTTATGTCGGTATTAAAAAAAGGATACAGTCCTGCGATAAAAAGATGGTATAATTTATTTGAAAATGTTGTGTACACATTAAAAATATACAAACAATATTTAACTTTTGTTAATTCTTACTCAAGACTTATTTTTCTCTCTACCCTTTCATTCTTCTTCTCTTGTCGGAAAAATGATTGAAATTTGGGATTTTCTGTTGATCTCTACAAGCCCAAAAAATGTTTTCAAAATTAAACCATAATTTTCTAGTTTTTGAATTACTTTTCCAACTTGGACCAAGGTGACCATAAAAGTGAATATTTATATTTTCTAAATCAAATAAATATAATATCGAGAGATAAGTAATGAAGAGATATAGGACTGCTATGTTTATTTCTTTTTACGTGCCACCGTAAATATTTAAAAGACACAAATAATTACTTAGTTTTCTAACATAATCGTATAACCTCCAAACCTGCGTCGCGCAGAACGTCCAGAGCGTTTAGGAAAATCCTGCGGTTACCTCTCATATGATACATAAGGACACATGTAAGAAACAGGACGTACTGGCTGCATAATGGACAAACATAACAATTACGTCATAGGTAACGCGACTTGATGTAAATATTTTCATACTTGCGCCAGCATTTGTCGTGCTGAGAGCAATTTCATTTTATTTCTTCTCGTATGGATCTGTTTCCCTCTCTTGAAACATGTGTCTTTATAATTTAGAATCAAAGCAACCGATTAAAATTTTAAGCGTGTTGATACCGACAAAGTAGTAACCTTACAGGATTTAGCGTACATGAAAAATATCGCTGTTCAATAACCTCCCGTCGGTAAATTTTGCGTCGAATCAATGTAAGCTACATTCGTTCTAGACGCTTTCGTACCGAGTCATTCCGTCCTTATTATATGCTGAAGTCAAATGGAATAATGTTTTCGAAACACATTTTGTCGTAGATGATAACTACAGTAATGCAACTTCATAAAAATCTTTAATACGCTTCGTCATAGAAGGTTTTCTATACATATCGATAACACCTAATAATCGTAAATTATAAAATTAACACACTTATTGTATGCTAAATATCTCGGATATTTATATCGGACAACTAAAACCAATATTCATAGGTCCGATTCTTTTGATGCTTACAACGCTAAAACGTCATTTTATCTTTCTTCGGCCGGAACAGACCACAAATCAAAATTTATACCATACCATTTTTTGACAATCTTTTGGGGAAAAAAAGATAATAGAATTAATTTGTACACTTAATATGTATGGTTACCCCCATCTCCCTCGCTATTTTTATCGATATATACACAGATCTACATTCTGCAGTTATCATTTACGTTGATTTAACATAAATTTATCGACCGAAGGTTATTTAACAGCGAAATATCTTATCGTCGAATTCTTTAAGGCTCCGCGGTTAACAAATAGTCGTAAAAAGAGATTGGAAAAGAAGGTCCCGTGTCAAATTAATTTTGCGACTATTTATTGAGTGTTCGAGTAAGAGAAAAATGTTCATACAATTTAACAAATCTGCTGAATCGATAAATATCATTTTATGGATATATCTTTATATTTGAAAGTATAAATCTTGGTTTTCAGACGTCATTAAACAAAGATAGTGACAGCGACTACTCCACAGAAGGCTTAAGTTAATTTACCCAATCCTGATTAAATCACGACAAATTTCGACCGTTTGTAACCGTTTTTCTATTTATTATACATTATTATAATAATATATATGTGTAAAAGTAATACATAAGTCATACAAGATTAAATGCAAAAAAAAACTATAGAGAATAGACCAAGTGTTTGCCCTCAAGACCATTTAGGATGTTCTGTGCGGCAATTATCGACATTTTATTGTGAGTCTTGAGCGTTGAACTACCTAAATGCGGCAAGATTTCTGTAATATATATAGAAAATAAAAATCAGTGATGTGATGCGTTTATTCGTGTGAAAAGCTGATACAATATAATTATATACTGACCGACATTAGGTAGTTTTAGAAGTTCGTGATCCAATGGCAACGGTTCTGGATCGGTAACGTCTAATCCAGCAGCGAATATTTTCTTATTACGAAGAGCTCTCACAAGCGAATCTGTCTTTACGATCTGGCCGCGAGCTATGTTCACAAAGACGGCTGTACTTTTCATCTTATTGAAAGCATTGTCATTGAAGAGCCCTCTGGTTTCGTTATTCAATGGGGCCGCGACGACGAGGAAGTCACTCTGCTCTAGAAGCTCGTCTAAAGATACGAATGTTGCTCCAAGCTCATCACCTGAATCAGTAATAATCATCAACAAGATGTTTAAAAGATCTCTATAAATTCATTATTCTCGCATAAATACGTAAAAGATTTCGTCAAAATTCGACAAAATTTATTAGATACCAATATAATTATTTAGTGGAATAAATACGAACAAATAATTTAGATATAAAATTTGCAATACCAGAGTCCGGTTAGAGTGTAAGTACAATTATCAATGTATAATAAAATTGATAGTAACTATTTTAGTATACAATATAACAAAAAAACTGTGTGTGTGTGTGTGTGTGTGTGTGTGTAATTACAGTGTACATACAAGTAAAATATATCTTATTGTAAAAATAATAAAAAGTTCATATAAACATATGCAGTTTATATGAACTTTTTTCATTAAGTCCTATGTGAATCCTCCACAGTGGGCTCCCGTGTTGTGAAACACCCTACATATTCATGTTACATAATAATATGTTCAAAGATTTTTATCATTGGATAATTAATTTATACAAATATATGCACGCGTGTGCTTCTGTGTGTATCTGTGTGCAGGAAAAGAGAGGGAGATTCGTTTGAGTCCTTAAACTTTCAAGTACAGATGTAGAATACATTTCCAAATACAATTAATTAGAAAGGGCGTCATAATCTCCGTAAATATTGCAGGTATTTAAAATCATAAAAGATATGTGTCTCTAATCATAACTTACCTGCTTTTTTGCGCGAATGTCCAGTATAGATGAAACGTCCCACCTCGAATCCCATCAATCGCTTAACGATCGCTTGACCGATATTTCCTAGACCGAAGATACCGACTGTGGATCCTTGCAGATCTTGCCCCAGCAACCACTGTGGTCTGTATTCCACCTGACCTCTTGATTAAATCACCGTATATATTAACAGACACGTTTCCTTAAGTATATAATAAAATGTTTCAATTAATCCTCTATAATCTGATCCGATATGTGACTTGTACATCGACCATTAATCAAGTAAAAATAAGATAATAGCGCGATGTATATAATATATAGCTAATGCTACAAATTTCTTGAATGTGCAATAAATAATTGGAACGATGGAGGATCAATCTCGGTCCAAAGTGAAATCTTATTTACTGTTCTAATTTCAAGCGACCTTCGTGAGCGCGTCTCGCCGCAGATAACATTAAGAGCACAGCCACTTCGGCAACTGTGGCAGATAATACTCCGGGCGTGTGTCCCACCTTGATTCCTCTCCTCTTAATCTCCGGTAGATCCAAGTGATCATATCCGGCTGACATTGTCGATACAACTTTCAAATTTGGACCTGAGAAAAAAAAGAAACAACGTTGAAAATAACCTTTATTAATAATTTTCTCTTAATGATATTTCATCGTATACTAGTCTATAATGCTTCAGGTTTTCAGTTCTATATTAAGGGAAATTGATTAGTCAGTAATTTTGATAAATCCTGCTTTATAAATATTTAAACAAATAAGTTAACTATTTAACATATTGCTTAAAATTGAAGTTTGCTTAAAGGACATGAATACAACAATTTACCGGCGACATCGAGAAACTCGCTGTTGACATTGTAATAGTGGACGAGAAACACAGCATCGTGTCCTGGTAGAGCTTGTAATACTTGTTCTCGAGCGCTTACGGCAGTTGGTACAATTGTAACGTCGCATCTACATTTTCCGACAGCATAAATAATATAATTCTGCAGATATATGAAATTGATTTCAACTCACTTGGTTCGAAGCAAATCGATGCCAGGAGCTGGCGCATCGTTGCTAGTTACTAACACCCGTGGTAAACTCACTGATGATAGATTCATTGCGCTATTTAAATTCAATCTGCCCTTAACAACCCGTGCAAGGACAAATCTCATATTTCCTTCCAATTAAGGGAAAAGCTGAAATTCGTGAAAATCCACAGTTAAATGTTCACAAGTGTATATACTCATAGCAATATGGGAAATTATACTCACATCAAAATTATGTAATAATCACTTATATATTACATAATCAATTATGTCATAATTATGTAATATCACGATGAAAAAGTTAAATTTAACGGACAATTGCCTGCAATTGCCTACAATCTCTGCACTTGGACTCATCTGCCGCGTATTATCACTTTCTAATAACCGTGTCATCACGATGTCCGTAGAATATATTCACGCGAATCATGATGACGAAAGATTGATTGCACGTATATATGACGAACCGTTTGAAGATAACACTAGACGATCACATGCACAAGCTTAATACTTTCCCGTCTCTTAGGGGATACCCTATTGTCACAGTTCGGAATAGCCGGGGTAATTGTGAAGGAAAGAGGCACCGATTTCGCTGAAACTTAGTAATATTGTGTATTTTGGTGTGTAAAATACGAATAGGAAAGAGTCGCTCTCAAATAGAACAAAAAAGGGTGACAGGTGTTTGACGGTTAGGAAATCTGTTATGTATCTATTTTTTTTTATCACAATCCATGTACTTACTCAAATAAAGGATACTTAGGAGAGTGACACAGGTAGATCCTAAGTTATCATTTTTATCCTACGATTTTTACTTTCACATTCGTGTTTTACGCAGCAAAATACATAATTTTGCAAAGTTTCAGCCAAATCGGTGAGAGAGCTCCTTTCCTCGCCGAAGTTACCCATGTAGTCTATTCTTTACAACTGCACCGCTGAACCGGTGTGAGACAAATATATATTACTTATTTGATAAAAATAAATATATATAATTATAACTACAAATATATGACCTATTTGATAAAAAATCGCTTATTTGATAAGAAGAAAAAAGAGCTTTGTGATTGGTTGGGCAGTACTGCTTTACGTTTACAATCCATGTGTGGAAACCTTAAAGGCCCGCAGGTCTATGGAGGCCATGGACATATAGTATGGACTGCGGATGGAAAAATATGACCAGCCGAGAGCAAGACAGCGACTGGCGATCGTAACACCTCATTGCAAAATACCACATTATAGCTATAGTGGTTGCCATCCTTCGCGACTGGGCGTTTGCGATGCATTGTAGAATGGCCTTTAGAATAAATTTAAGAAAAATAGTGGAATAAAACACGCCTCGCGTTACAATACCTCTCCGAATCGAAGGAACCTCGTCCCACAGTAGCTGTTTTTCAACCGTTGTTTTGCCACAATACATATATTTTGAAACGAAAGTCGGAATCACACCGGAAATGAGCGAATGTCAATTAGTCTCGTTGCTTTTGTTTGTGTCATAAAGTGTCTGAGGGATACATACATGTTTCGGTAATATTTTCGCGAATATTACGCGATATAACACCTTTATTCCGAACAACTGTTCAGGCATCTATAAAATATGAAGAAGCTTATGTAACTGTATCATCGCTTTTTATCTTTTATGTAATCTTGAAACCGGTTCGGGCTAGGTACGTGTAATCTCGTCACTATTACTCGCGCAACATATTCTACGGACACAGTGATCACACCGGAAAATAATACACGATAAATGTGCAGAGATTTTACTGTAATTGTCTGTTGAATTTAACCACTCCATCGTGTGACATAATTTGAACGTAAGTACGTACGTTCCTTGGTTAGAAAGCTTGCTTCTCCACAAATTGTCGCTTTTCCATTAATCGGAAGCAAACATAGGATCTGTTCCAGCACGATGAATCTATCGGTGAGCCTACCGCGAGTATTGGTAACTAGCAACGAAGCGCCGGCTCCCGGCATCGATTTGCTTCGAAACAAGTAAGTTGGAATTAATTACAGATGCCCGTAAAATTATATTATTTATGTTATCGGGATATATAGATGCGACATTACAATTTTGCCAAATGCCATAAGCACTCGGGAACAAGTGCTGCAAGCTCTACCAGGACACGACGCTGTGTTCCTCGCCAACCATCAAAATGTGAACAGCGAGTTTCTCGATATCGCCGGTAAATGTTCAAACTCTTTAAGCAACTTTAAGGCAGAATATCACATCTCGATAGAAAAGCAGAAGAGCAGCAGCCAATCAGAACTCGCGCTGGTAGTTTCTGCTTCATCTAATACTTACTACCAGCACGAGCTGTGATTGGTTGTTGCTTTTCTGTGAAGGTGTGAATTCTCCCTAAGCAATATTTTCTGTTAAATTATTAATTTAAACCATCTATTTAAATAAATGTAAAGGATTCATGAAATTTACTAACCAATCAATTTCCCCAAAGCTTAATATAGAACTGAAAGCCTGAAACATTATAGACTAGTATGACGATGAAGTATCATTAAGAGAAAATGAAGATCTTGTTGAATAATAAGTTGTCAACGTCTACTTTTTTCAGGCCCAAATTTGAAAGTTGTATCGACAATGTCGGCCGGATACGATCATTTGGATATACCAGAAATTAAGAGGAGGGGAATCAAAGTGGGACACACGCCTCAAGTTTTATCTGCTGCAGTCGCAGAAGTGGCTGTGCTCTTAATGTTATCTGCGGCGAGACGCGCTCACGAAGGTCGCTTGAAATTAGAACAGTAAATAAGATTTCACTTTGGACCAAGATCCTCCATCGTTTCAATTATTTATTGCACATTCAAGAAATTTGTAGCATTAGCTATATATTATATACATCGCGCTATTATCTTATTTTTACTTGATTAATGGTCGATGTACAAGTCACATATCGGATCAGATTATAGAGGATTAATTGAAACACTTTATTATATACTTAAGGAAACGTGTCTGTTAATATATACGGTGATTTAATCAAGAGGTCAGGTGGAATACAGACCACAGTGGTTGCTGGGGCAAGATCTGCAAGGATCCACAGTCGGTATCTTCGGTCTAGGAAATATCGGTCAAGCGATCGTTAAGCGATTGATGGGATTCGAGGTGGGACGTTTCATCTATACTGGACATTCGCGCAAAAAAGCAGGTAAGTTATGATTAGAGACACATATCTTTTATGATTTTAAATACCTGCAATATTTACGGAGATTATGACGCCCTTTCTAATTAATTGTATTTGGAAATGTATTCTACATCTGTACTTGAAAGTTTAAGGACTCAAACGAATCTCTCTCTCTTTTCCTGCACACAGATACACACAGAAGCACACGCGTGCATATATTTGTATAAATTAATTATCCAATGATAAAAATCTTTGAACATATTATTATGTAACATGAATATGTAGGGTGTTTCACAACACGGGAGCCCACTGTGGAGGATTCACATAGGACTTAATGAAAAAAGTTCATATAAACTGCATATGTTTATATGAACTTTTTATTATTTTTACAATAAGATATATTTTACTTGTATGTACACTGTAATTACACACACACACACACACACACACACACAGTTTTTTTGTTATATTGTATACTAAAATAGTTACTATCAATTTTATTATACATTGATAATTGTACTTACACTCTAACCGGACTCTGGTATTGCAAATTTTATATCTAAATTATTTGTTCGTATTTATTCCACTAAATAATTATATTGGTATCTAATAAATTTTGTCGAATTTTGACGAAATCTTTTACGTATTTATGCGAGAATAATGAATTTATAGAGATCTTTTAAACATCTTGTTGAAAATTACTGATTCAGGTGATGAGCTTGGAGCAACATTCGTATCTTTAGACGAGCTTCTAGAGCAGAGTGACTTCCTCGTCGTCGCGGCCCCATTGAATAACGAAACCAGAGGGCTCTTCAATGACAATGCTTTCAATAAGATGAAAAGTACAGCCGTCTTTGTGAACATAGCTCGCGGCCAGATCGTAAAGACAGATTCGCTTGTGAGAGCTCTTCGTAATAAGAAAATATTCGCTGCTGGATTAGACGTTACCGATCCAGAACCGTTGCCATTGGATCACGAACTTCTAAAACTACCTAATGTCGGTTAGTAGTCCTCATATGAATTGCACATATGAGTGCCCGACGTTACTTTCATTTTCATCGAGGTGACTTTCGGAAGCTACTCACTTCCCCTTGCTGCTCCAGCTGATCACGCAACTGACTGTTACGGTATTCTGCTTGAGAGAGAGTTAACATTGTATTATCTGTGAGGCGCTTATAGCTAAAAGAAATTTATCGAAATAACTCGATGTATATTTTTACAAGCTACCGATATATTTATTAATGATATAAATATATTGGTAGTTATATAATCAAATTATTTTGATAAATTTCTTTCGGCATAGCCAGCCGGGCGTATGGAGCGGCAAAGTGGACTAAGCAGGCGAAGCTCCCGAAAATCGCCTTGAAAGTGAAAGTAACACCGAACGCTGATATATATCATAATAATATTTATATTGTATTATTTCTTCACATAAATAAGCGCATCACAATTGATTTTTATTTTGTGTATATAATATTACAGAAATTTTGCCACATTTGGGCAGCTCAACGCTCAAGACTCGCAATAACATGTCGATAATTGCAGCACAGAACATTTTAAATGGTCTCGAGGACAAACCCTTGGTCTATCCTTTATAGTTTTTTCCTGCATTTAGTCTTGTGTGACTTATATATTATATATTATTTTTACACACACATATCGTAATAATGCACAATAAATATCACTAGAAAAACGACCTGTCGATATGTGATTTAATACAGAAATCCGTCATTTTTTTATATTTACAAACATAACTTGTTTGTCAGATTTAAATCTTAATTTGATTATTCATAATTGTTAAAGTCTCAATGCTATTAAAAGTAATAAAGCGGATATTTTGTTAGTACAAAGTGGATTATCAAGGTATTGTTAGAAATTTCTTGCTTGCCAAATTTAGTTATTCGGCTCGGTATTTTGTTGAAATGATTTCATATTATACGCTCTCTCTCTCTCTCTCTCTCTCTCTCTCTCTCTCTCTCTCTCTCTTTGTGTGTGTGTGTGTGTGTGTGTCCTCAAAAATTGTAAAACATAAGTACTACATTATTATACTTAAATGGACTTTTTGGAATTTCGCAGAATTTTTCAACTTATTTTTTCTATTCTCAACTTATTCTATCCAATTTTAGAAAATTATTTTTAATCACGTTTCATTTGATTGTTGTCATACACTTATTTGCTTAATACTATTAATAAAATATTACACTAAACAAGAATGATTAAAAAAAAAAATATATATATATATATATTTTATCTTGATAATTAAATCAATTTTAGCCTTGAGAATATCTCTAGTCCTCAGAAAACTCTATATAATATAGTTTCATACTGAAATTATATAATTATTCATCCTCAGAAAACACGCTTTCAAATTATGCAAAAACGTTAACAAAGAAATAGAAATATAGAAACAGATCGGTTTTCGTTGAGAAAAGTACTGACACTGTAATACAGTACAGGCACTGTTCCTACGACATTTGCAATGGTTCGTAAATTTGCATCTCAGTAGTATTTAGCATTTATCACCCATAATGGACAACAGGTAACCATCAGGCTTCCACTACTGCATTTTTTAAACTACTTAAAATAGGGTCGATCTTATTTTCCAATGATAGTATGTGACCAGTGTTGCAATTGTGACTAGCGATAAAACTTACAACCAACGGTAACTTATTCATCTGCACCACCTAAGTACCAAATAAGAATTAATGAGAGAACTGATCTAAGCGATATTTAGATAATACCATATATTTCAATAAAATGAGAAGTAGTTGCAAAATTGATTTTAAAGTATTGATTCAATAATATAAACAAGTCAAATTTCAAGTCAAACAACTTATACACAATAAATTCCATAAAGCACTAAAAATCACTTAGTAGTTATATTTACTAATAACTATAGAAACATACTTTATTATTTAATAATATAGACAAATAATATAGATAATATTCCTATAAAATAATTCCTGGTAATAATTATTGTTTCCCTTATATTTTACTTTTTCCACCTCAGATATCAATTGATATATACTAGTTTATTCCAAATATGTTTATATGATACTTGTATATTATATTCTAATATAAATATGTTATCTGCTTATTGTATACCTTACCTGATAATTACTATACATGCATATAATAATTTTATTTTTCCCAAGACCCAGTTTACTTCCTTGATCCGTTGCCATTCCAAAAGTAGACAAAAAGCTGGCTCTCATAGCTAACTCTGGTGCCTTCTCATCAGCCACAGATACAACGGGTACTCCGTCCCTATCAGTAATTAATATACTATGAAGACCTTCTATGCCACTTAATAGACCATAGAGAAATTTCTTCAATTCCTAAAACAGCAAAATATTATATACTGAATAACTTTTCAGTTAAAATTCAATTGTTTAAAAACATTTCAAGATAATACATAAGAGTATTTTACGCGATATCAAACATAACCTTATATACTTCATCGAAAAAATACTTTTCACTGAACACGTTCAACTTACCACCGTCATCTTTTTTAAATTGTATTCTAAGATTTGTATACAAAATTTGTAAATCGATATCACAATAGCAAAGATTTCTCTCAAATATGTATATTCATTGGATGTATCAATTACTTCCTGAAACAATTATAGGTCTGTTCGTTTTCGCTACACCGCTGAACTAGTGCAATAAGTTGAAGTGAGAAAACATATACTTGTCTCGCTTCAACTTATTGCACTAGTTCAACGGTGCAGCGAAAACGAACAGACCTTATATCACGTTACACCAAACACGCGTTCACTGACTGATGTCAGCAAACTTTTTGATAACACGGTGTACCAATTGTTTGGACGCAATATTTTTCACATATTTTCGAGAACCTGGCTCCTAGCTTGTGCTAGATCAGTTCTAGTGCGATTAGTTATAAAGAACAAATCTTAAGCCAGTGGCATACGATGCTTGTTTTCATGGTGGATTGTTTGCTGGATGAAAATACTGTATTTTGATTGGTGTTTTATTGTCTCATCCATTTTTGGAAATGAACCAATCAGAACACAATATTTCTATCCAGCAAGCAATCCAGCACGAAAACAAGCATCGTGTGTTTTATATTTATGTGGACCATTAATGTGATATCAGAAAAGTACAGTGTTCGATTATTTAAACATATGACTCCTATTTGCATGTTCCTAAAAAGTTATTAATTATAGTTAGTGTTTCAGGAATTGATAAAAATCTGCTTTTAGTGCGTTTGGATCCATATTGCGCGAATTTACCAATCGCTCAAATTTCCACCGCTTTTCCTGCAAAGTCCCGCCAACACACTTTCTACATGTATGTACATTCCTCTATACTTTGTAATAATATTCGATGCCCAGGAAGGGGGCTCTCTCCTCTAACAACACCTCATCAAGTGTCTGGTTATGTCTGATTACACGATCGGTGGTGCCATTTACATCTATTAAAGTAAATTAGTAAATTAGGAAATTACTCTTCGACGCTAATGTTGAGGTATAATCGGCATAACGTTCGACCATAACCGACCCTGTCAGTTGAGTGAGAACTTGTCTCTCGGAAAATACGAGGTTAACGATTATTGAGAGAGGTACCGTGCCTATACACAGCGTAAAATTTCATTATTTAATATAATACTAACTATAATATCATACATGTATTATACCAGTAGTGTGTCAAATTACGACGTTTGAAAGTGACCGTTCTCGCTATTTCTTATTACCCGAATAACGCTCATGACTTTAATTTTGACTGAACATTTAATGAAATCAATTAGTTTGTAATTAAATATTTGTAATTTGTGAGAACAATTTTAATACAACTGGTCACATATATGCAATCTCTTTTCGTTAACAGTTTTAGTTCATTTTGAGAATCCGACACTTTTATGTGACACAAGATATGTCTGATATAAAAATTCATATAGTTTACATATGAAAGATAAAAAATGCTCCAGTAAAATACAGAATATGTATGAAAGATATATTAACATATTTATGTTTAATCCCATATGTATAATTGTAGAAAAACAGAGTGATCGAATGTCAGATATCAGAGATATAGCATAAGATGAAGCAGCTGGATGTAGCAGAGATCATGTTGAAATTATGTCTACTGATTACACTGATAACAGTTAGGAATAGCATAGCTGGTGTACCACGTAAGGATCAAAGTCTAATAGGCAACCAAGGCTTGTACAATACCAGCGATGACGTAGTGATTCTTAATGCTACAAACTTCAGAGCAACCGTATATGGTAGCACCAGGGGATGGCTGGTTGAATTTTATAACAGCTGGTGCGGTTTCTGTTATAGATTCGCACCTAGTTGGAAAGCTCTGGCGAGCGATATCCTCTGTAAGTTTCTGAACAGATAATTAGAAACAATTATCATGACAAATTTTTTGATGAGTTCTTGAATTTGTTAATATTCCAAATTCTCTGTGAATCATTCCACAATATGGATAAACTTGCACAAAGTAAAAAGCTGGATACTATTGACGTTATGAAAATAAGTGAAAAATCGATATTTCAGCTTGGAACGATATCGTTGTAGTCGCCGCGATAGATTGCGCCGACGATGAGAATAATCCGATCTGTCGTGATTATGAGATTATGCACTACCCGATGTTGAAATATTTCTCCGTAAATGCGCATCCACCGTCTCTAGGTATAGTAATAGAGAAAGGGGACAGTGTTGATTCAGTAAGATACAATTTAGTGAATAGGCTCGAAACAGAACAACAAGAAGGACGGGGATCCACATGGCCTAACATTGCACCTTACAGGTATGTGTGTTGTACACATTCAAACTGCTTTCTTACCGTAATTAGAAAGGAAATGTTTTATAGTTCAAGACGTAATATTTCTAAAGCGGCTGATCATTGATTGCAGAAACGTCGAAATAACAGACGTATGGAAAACAGCCTCCAGCAACGTAAAGTATTTCTTCCTAATTTTCGAGAACACAGATTCCCACTTAGGCACGGAAGTAATCCTCGATCTGCACAGGATCAACAGCTTACAGATACGCAGAGCTACTTCCGACAATGAGTTGCTGTGCGTGACGAATAAAGTGACAAAGTTCCCGAGCTTGATAGCTTTTGGTCGTAACGAGTCGCACAGAGTAATCAACGTTAGAATACCGACGAGGCAGGGTGTTCGACGTGCTATCAAGGATTACGTGATCGCGAGAGGAGTGAATATCTACGAGGCGAGTACGATGACAGCGATGTCGCGTGACGCACAGCAAACAACGATCGCGGCGACGATCGAAAAAGCTGAAGAAGCTCGACAGTCAACGTCGAAGAAAATGGTGGACGATCGTTTGTATCAGCTCGACCTAGAAAGCGCGCTGCGCTATTCGATCAATCACGAGATACCGCTGACGAAGTCGATTGAAGGCGAGAAAATGGAGGCGTTACGGAGATACCTCGCAGTGTTGGCAGCGTACTTTCCTTTACGACGAAGCAACATGTATCTGGAAGTAATTCGAGACGTCGTCGAGAGTAAAACTCGAATGACCGGTGAGGAATTCAGTCAACTAGTCAAGACAACGGAAGAGGAGATGTCGCCGGTATACTCGGGGCCTCGTCGATGGATAGGGTGCAAGGGTAGCACGGATTCGTACAGAGGATATCCTTGCGGCTTATGGACAATGTTTCATACATTGACCGTGAATGGAGCCGTCCTACAGGACGATGATCCCGCCGCGGTGTTGCGAGCGATGCGCGGCTATGTGAAAAGTTTCTTCGGATGTGCCGACTGCGCTGCTCACTTCGTGGAAATGGCCGCTAGGAATGGGATATTCGACGTGCGCAGCAGAGACGAGGCTGTGATCTGGCTATGGCGAGCTCATAATGAAGTGAATGCACGGTTATCGGGCGACAAGACGGAGGATCCCGAGCACAAGAAGATACAGTATCCTACGACCGAGCACTGTGCGGCCTGTAAGTTTGCTAATGGTAGCTGGAACGAGGAGGAGGTGTTGCGATATCTCAAGCACAAATATAGCTATAGCGGTATCAAGTACGACGGGATTGACAATACCGACGATATCGATGATATGATCAATGCCAATGGATCGAGAGTGAAGAGGCCGGAGAGACTCGCTGTGGAAGCCAAGCGCACCACTTCCGGGGGGGAGGGCCTGAATGGGTTCGACATCAGCATCTGGCTAGTGTTGTACGTTATGTCGTCTGTGATATTCACGCTGGTGTGCTCGAGGGAGCTCAAGAGCTATAAGAGAAGAATGTGGGCGCAGGAGGAAAGTTATAAAAAGAAGAAGAATCACATCAACCTGTTGACTATATGATGCTCTTCTTTCTTCTCTTTACACTCGGCTCGTCGCATGTAGTCAATCTTGCATGCGACATTCCTTTAACTGAATTTACAAACGTCTCGGTTTCGACTAGTGAAATAGAGTGTTATAGAGATTCTTCCAAGTTGCAAATTGTACATTTACGTCTGGTCTGGCACACGCGATTCAACAGAGAAAACTTTTTATCCCTGTTGTGCTGTGTGATGTAGTAACTGGTAAGTACTGCAAAAACGATAAAACCGAGACGTCGCAGCAGGCACATATTGATTAAAAAAGAAGAAACAATTTACCTCTTTAAAAAATTAGGCTTGTTTTAACAATTTAAACATTTAAACTATTTCTAGTATGAAAGAAATGTATTCTTCAGTGAGTTACAACTAAAAATTAAACTGTCGGAAATAATTATGAATAATTACATGATACATATATATATATATATATATACAGGGTGCGGCGAAAGGTTTGCCCGAGTTTGAAAAATCCGTTGCTCACCAGATGGCGTGAGTAGGTTGTTGGGCAGGGTCTCATTAGGAAGGTTGTTCTCAACCGTTTTCAGTTAACATCATGATTTGGACTGGAGAACATCGTGGATTCGCTGTGCGCTCTTTTTTGGAAAATGGCCGTTCAGTCATTGCGACGCAGAGAGCAATGCGCTTGCGATTCCATATTCCGCGCCATGTTTCCGTACCTGATGGAAAAACAATCAAACG